GCCACCACCACTGAGGCTCTGCTGGGAGCCAGGCAGACAGTCTTCTCCAGGGCACTCACCACGCCTACCTCCATCCCTTCCTCTCCAGCTCCTCTTCCACAGTCCAAACGGTTGTTATGTCCTATCCCTAGACCTGGGAGCTTCACCTTTGGAAATTTGAAAGCCAAGCATTAACCTCTACGTTAATGAGTAAAGGACCATCATTTTGATAGATGCAGAAAAAGCATTTGACAAAATACAATACTCATTTATGATAAAAACACTCAACAGACTGAAAATATAAAAGGGAACTTCCTCAACCTGACAAAGGTTTATGAGAAGTCAGTCCATAGCCAACATCAAACTAAATGGTGAAAGACTAGATGCTTTCCCACTAAGATCAGAAACAAAACAAGGATGTCCACTCTCACCACTTCTGTTCAACATTGTACTGGAGGTTCTAGTCAGGGCGATTAAGAGAGAAAATGAAATAAAAGGCATCCAAATTGGAAAAGGAGAAATAAATTACCACTATCTGCAGATGATATGATCTTATATATAGAAAGTCTCAAGGAATTCATTTAAAAACTAGAACCAATAAACAAGTTCAGCAAGTTTTCAAGGTACAATATCAACATACAAAAATCAATTATATTTCTATACCCTATCAATGGACATCCCAAAAATAAAATTAAGAAAATAATAAATGTGCAACATTTTTTGAAATGAAATATTTAGGGCCGGCCCGGTGGCTCACTGCTACAGTGCGCCGCTTGGGAGCGCGGCGGCGCTCCTGCCGAGGGTTCAGATCCCACATACAGACCGGTTCCAGCTCACTGGCTGAGCGAGGTGCGGGAGCAACACCGAGGGTTGCGATCCCGTTGCCGGTCACGAAAAAAGGAAAAAAAAAAAAAGAAAGAAAGAAATATTTAGACAAGATTTAACAAAAGAAGTATAGTAAGACTTATCCACTGAAAACTACAAAAGCTTGTTGAAAGAAATTTTAAAAGATCTGGATAAATGGCAATACATCCTATGCCATCATTCAGAAAATTAACTATTATTAAGATAGCAATTCTTCCCAAATTGATCTACACATTCAATGCAATCTCTATCAAAATGCCAGCAGTCTTCTTCTTCTTTTTTTTTTTTTTAGCAGAAATTGACAAGCTAACCCTAAAATTCATATGAAAATGCAAAGGGCCCAGAGTACCCAAAACAACCTTGAAAAAGAAGAGCAAAGTTGGAGAACTCACACCTCCCCTATTTCAAAATTACTGCAAAACCACAGTAATCAAGATACGTAGTCATAGACATATAGATCAATGGGAAAGAACTGAGAGTTCAGAAATGAGCCCTTACATTTATGGTCAATTGATTTTTGAGGAAAGTGTCAGGACAGTTCAATGGAGAAAGAAAAGTCTTTCCAACAAATGGTGCTGGAGCAACTGTATATCCACATGCAATAGAATGAAGTTGGAACCTCACTGCACACCATACACAAAAATTAACTCAAGATGGATCATAGATCTAAATGTAAGAGATAAACTCCAAAATTCACAGAAGAAAACATAGCAATAAATCTTTGTAACCTTGGCTTGGGCAAAGATTTCTTAGAATATTGAAAGGACAAGTGGCAAAATAAAAAAATAGACAGATTGGACTACAATTAAAAACTTCTGTGCTACAAATGATACCATCGAGAAAATGAAAAGCCAACCCATAGAATAAGAGAAAATATTTGCAGAGCCTGTATCAGATAAGGGACTTATATTCAGAATACATAAAAAAAACTCTTGCAACTCAATGAGAAAAAGACAGATAACCCAATTTAAAAATGAGCAAAGGATTTGAATAGACATTTCTCCAAAGAAGATATACAAGTGGGCAACGAGCATATGAAAAGATGCATGTTAATACAGTTGGCCAACCCCTTACCACCATCCTGAAATCCAAACAGCTCTGAAAACCCAAGATTTGTCTGGCTACAAAACTTGACCGTGTGGTATGAATGCTCCCGTGTTTGCTGCAGAATATTGATGTGTTTAATGACAGAATCTTTCCCCAGCCCCTGCTGTGGGTGTTATATAATATGTGGTGCATGAATTGTGCACTAACTTTCTACAAGACTAAAAAGTCTGAATTCTGAAATCTACCTGACCCTCAGGTTTCTGGATAAGAGATTGTGGACTGGTATTCTGGTGAACCTATTTACCCTCAGGCTTCGGTGAAAGGAAACACAACAAATACACTTGATGTAAACAGAACAAGAGAGGAGCAGGATGTAGAGCTGAGGGTTTGGAACAGGAGAGCTGGGGGCGAATCCGTGGTCTCAGTCTCACCAGCTGCGGCTCTTCGAAACGTCATCTAACCTTTCTAAGCATTGGTTTCTGTATCTATAAAACAGAAATAATAATAATATCTACTTCCTGCCATTATTAAGGGATTGAATAACATATTGCGTGCCTAGTACATAGAGAGTAAGGGCTTAAATAGTAAGTGCTTAATCTTAATATACAATAAATGTATTACTTGATAGGCCTTTTTCTCAGCACCTGCTATGTGTCACACATAGAGTGGCAGGTTCTCTACATAGAGAGTAAGGGCTTAAATACTAAGTGCTTAATCTTAATATACAATAAATATATTACTTGATAGGCCTTTTTCTCAGCACCTGCTATGTGTCACACATAGAGTGGCAGGTTCTGGAGAGGAAAGGCACCTTTTCCGTGGGGATCTACAGACCAGTGGGGAACCAGGCGAGACAGCCACGCATGGACACGGTGTTCAGTGCACTGTGCAGAGGCAGGACTCTAGCGCTGGGAGCCCCGTGCAGAGGAGAGAGGGCACCGAGGACACTGACAGGTCACAACTTTAAATATCCAGGAAGAAATAATACAGGAGATGCTGGGATATCCTAGGAATAATAGCTGGAACATGAATTCTCATACCCAGTGCTGCGGGAGACCCTGAGAAAACCATCTTGACAGAACCTATGCCCACCCACCACTGCCACAGCATGTTTTCCACTCCTCTTGGGAAGCAGGTGGGTCAACAGGCTGAGACCACTGTCCAATGCTTGATGACCTTAGCACTGAGGGAGGACAGAGGTTAACACCAACGATCTTCTGGAAGCCTCTTGATTTAGAAATCCAGATTACTGCTCTTTGTTATATGTGTCTGTAGAAATAAATAATGGAGAAACTTATCTCTTTCCATCTCATCTCAGGCTTAAAAACATTCTGATTGGATGTCACCATGGACCCATAATTTCTGCCCCCAGGAAGATAATAAAACATTCCCCTGACCTGGGTTCCCTTTGCTGAAACTCATTCTCCATCACCCCTGTGCTGGAGGGGCTTGGCTGTAGGCAGAGGGCAAAACTTGTGCCCACCGCATTGCTGAGGGAGCCACACAACTCCAGGGATTGGACTACAGTGCTCAGATGATCAGAAAATCTCACCTTTGGCCAGGGCTGTTGGCCACGCAGCTCACATCTGGACATCGCTTGACGTTATAACTGATAGAGAATAAAAGCTAAGCAAAGCCCTTTGAGGGACCCTGCCTCTTGCTGCTCTGTACTTTCTATGTTACTGAGATGAAAAGTGTCCATGTATGGATTAGCTCACCAGGGAGAGGAAACAATTCCAATACTGGCAGTACCTACAACATTCTCCTCCACAGTAGATTCCTGCACAGTTGACTTTATGCTTTAAAAGCCTCTAAGCAATTCCCAAGCTTCCAAGTCTTCAGGTAGTGGGAGAGAGAGCCATTTTGATTACCAGCCCATGCTGACCCTAACCTTAACCCTGCCTCTGCCTGCCCATCACACAGGGCCAGGGAGGCCAAAGAGGACAGCTGCTGGCAGTCTGCCCCTCCCAAGTGGCCTGGGGCCTGCCTGGAGGTGATTGAAAGGATGTTGCCTTTCTGACCACCTGTAACATGTTCCGGGTCCTTTCTCTTCTCCAGGGATGCAGCTCTTGATCTAGACTCCAGCTCCTACTTTGCTCTTGCATCTCAAAGGCCTTTCATTCGTTCAGGCCATATTTATAGAGCGCCAGCTCCATGCCAGCTCAGTACAGGCACTTCAGATACAACAGTGCACAAAACAAAGTTCTCTGCCTTCAGGAAGCTGGCATGTGAGACGGACAGTGAACAATAAACATGATGATTCATACATGAGGGAACATCTTAGCAGGTGGTAAGTGTTGTGGAACAGAGGCCAGCGTTGGGGTACTGGGGTGGGGGGCAGGTTGGATATTGAGGTGAGATGGATAGCTACAGCCACACTTTGCCAGCCAGACAACATAGTTCAAGGGTCCCTTGGGGGTATCCCGTTAGACTCTGTACCCCAGCCAGGCACTACGCCTAGGGTGCAGTGGGTGCTCGCTGAAGGGTGAATAGATAGCATCGATCCCAGGGTTTCTCTGCTTCGTGCTCTGACTGAAAGCGCCTGCTGCAGGCTCGGCTTCAAAGAGCACTTTGCTCTCTTGCACATGAATATGCCCCCATTCTTGAGTGGTGTCCCACCTCTGGGGTTCGACTTCAAGCACTTTGCTCTCTTGCACATGAATATGCCCCCATTCTTGAGTGGTGTCCCACCTCTGGGGCTGACCAAACTGCTGCCTTCTCCCACTTCAGGTGCACGGTTGGTTTCCCAGGACCCTGAACCCCTAGGCAGTGCCCTGTGCCTCCCTCGTGGCCGCCCTCAGACTGCCCCTCCTACACCTTCGTAGCTGCGTTCCCAGCCCAGCCACAGGCTGGCAAGCCTGCCAGTCTACTCAGGATCATGAGTCCTGTTTCAGGAGTGTTTGATCCATTCTGTCCCTTGACAAAGTTTGTAGCTTTTTTGTTCTGAGCAGCAAGGAATAAATAAGCACCTAGACACTAGCTTGTGTTCTTTTCCCCCTTCATATATATTTATTTCAAAATAAAGACATACGATTTTAAACAAATGATTTCAACTGATTTTAATTTGAGTAGCGTACTCGATGTTTCAATTGCAACAACTTAAAGAGAAGACTTTAAATTCAATAAATAGAATAAATAATATTTCATCTTCACACTTTGCCTCTCATCCCTCTCATCTTTTCTTGCTGGAAAACTTCCAGGAGACTCTTCAGAAATGTCAGCGTGTTGCCCGTTGTGGTTTGGTTGCACGGCTGTTCACAGGAAAAAAACTGTAGGGATAAAAGTGAACAAGAATGGAGTGACTGAAACAGTGTGGAACCAAGCAGCCCCAGATGCCACCCTGCCCCAACCCTGGGGGTAAGAGGGGAGTGGGGGAGGGGGAGGGGCGGGAGGGGGCTTGAGACCTAGAGCAAACAGGTGAGGAGGTCCAGGCTAGCTAGCACTTTGTATAGACAGTGTAGGAGTTTGACTTCATGGTAAGATGTCAGCAGTCTGTCCACACACACGTAGGCACCTATCAAGCAGCCCTAAATTTCCCCACCATTAAAGGAAACCTTTTCTTGGAACTCTTTGAGGCTTAAAATTGCATCATTATCAATTTAGGTTGTCCTTTCAAGATCATTTTATAGCACAATGGCTACAAGTGGGGCTTTGGGGTCACCTAGATCTGAGTTCAAATCTCAACTCTGCCAGTTATTAAATACTTAACCTAAAGCAAATGAATTAACCTCACTGAGCTTCGGTTCCTGCTCTATAAAGTGAGAGTGATAAATCTAATAACTGTCCCTGAGGGAAGTATTCAATGAAACAGTATATATCAAGCACTAAGAACTAGATGCTATTGATGGTAGAAACACGGGCAGCTGAACAGCTGAGTACTGGGCTTTCTGCCTCCTGTGATCTCTCGTAGGTCACTCCTCCTACCACCACTAGCCTCCACCCCCTTCCCACTCCACCCCCTTCCCACCAGGGAATAGGGTATGTGCTGGAGAAGAGAATGTGTTGATGAGCATTTAGGGCAAGTGGCAAGCTTCCACCTTGATCTGGGTGGATCTCCCTTTACACACATCCTTAGTCAACTAAAAAAAAATCTCCTTTAACTCATGGGCCACAACATCCACTCAGTTAGCAAATTGAATCTCTAGGATAATTTAGTATTGTGTAGGCTGTGGCCCTGATTCTCTAGATTGTAGCTTCTAACTACCATCAGGATGGATTCTTTCATTATTCAATGAGTGGAGAGAAGTACATGGCCCTACAGGTGTGAGTGTTTTTTAAAACCAGCAAGAACAATGGACCATCTGGTGCAGATCTCACTTTAATTCTACTGTTTCTGATTAAATTTCTTAGACATCCCTTATCAACATTGAAGTACCAGTTCCAACTTTATTGTCCTATCTCATTCAAACAGGGCTGGCACTAACATTCACATAAAGTCACAAACTTGGGCACAGCGCATTAAGAACAAGCTCACCGGACACTTGCTGTTCTTCAGGACTTCAACCGTTCTCTTCACCCGGATGAAACTCGCTGGGAATCTTCTTTGCACCGTGGTATTTGTCATCTGTGACAGCCCCTCCTGGAAGCATGGTGTGGTGCAGTTGTCCTGGTAAATAATAAGGATTTATCAAAAGAAACACTCTAAGGATGACTTTGAGGAGGAATCACAATGAGAATGATTTTAGAGACAATTTTAATTTAACCAATGTAACCCAAACTTGCACTGTTTTTGGATAGGTCCCTTGCTGGTCTAGGAAATGACCTTCAGAACTTCAAGGTGAGGACATTTTTCTGCAGTGACACTCCATGGAGGAGATTTCTAGTATGTTCTGTCAGGGAAACATGAGGTCAGTGGGCCCTGGAAAATAGCCAGCTCTGAGTCTCCTTTTTGACAGATCCTTGCCTGCTCCAAGCTTTGTAACAGTGGGTTTGAAAGTGCAGAGAAAGGAAAAGCCTTTTCACACCAGCTGTGGGATGTGCCAGCTGAAGACCACTAGTGTTGCAGAGCAGCTGAAGTCAGGGTCTATGAACTGAAGGCAGAGGCTGGTCCTCCCAGAAGGTGCCCTGGCTCTTCTCATGTAATGGACAGACTGTGATGTTGTGATGTCTTACCTCAGGTTGTGCCTGGGAGAGAGTAAAGCACTACGCCTTAGGTAAGTGCCTCCCCATCACCCTATCCAGGAGTTTGAATCAGGACTCAGAACATTGCTGCCACCCTTCCTCCCTGCCAGAGTGGATAGTGGTCTTCTTGGAGCCCTCTTCCACCCACAACCTCAGACCTCTATTTGCCCAGAGAGTAGCATTCAAACCGTGCACAAGCCACCCTAGATCAGCGGGGTTGACCCACAGGAAAGAAGGGAGGGGGGGAGGAGGAGGTATAGCACATAGACAGTTTATGCCAGATGAATGATAATGAATTTTGTTTTATTTACATTGTTTCATGACCCTAGAATTATCAACAAATTGGTTAGAAAGCAATCCTACATGAGCTATGGAATTTATTATATTTTTGGTTCTAGTTTGATCTAATTATCCACATGGACACTCATCTAAAAAGATATCGAGATTCTTTTTTAAATATTGAAAAGTGTTCACATTTCTCAAGGAACACAAAGCTAACTAAATACTAAGAAATTTATATGGTATGGAATTGCAAGGCATTGGATTTAAAAGAGAATACTAATCTGTAACAGTTACAATTAAGTAACAATTTCTAATTTAAAATATCAAATAAAGCAATTCATTTTTATTTAAAAACAAACAAAAAAACAGGATCAAGATTATTTTCTTTTACCGTACTTACAGAAGACATGGGCAGACACAAACAACTGGTCACCTGCAAAAGAGAAATTTGAGAGTGAAGATTCCAAGTGTGAACATTAAAATCAATTTGGAAAGTTCATAAAAGAGCCTTCACTCACATTGGCACTGCAGCTGCATTTTGAAGGTGGATCATCCTAACATAGGTAGAGAGAGAGGAACCCATGATGAGGGGTGCGTTTTTTCATCCTGCTATGTATATTTCACTTAAATTTCCAGTAGCTGCCTTTCCCACTAGCACCCCCTGCAGCCTACCTGCAGTTTCTTGATGAGGAAGTTGATGTCCATGATCCCTGCCGAGGTTAAACACCCCTGGCCAGCCACGGAGCAGAAGAACAGGGCAGAGGCAAGGACCGCAGCCAGAAGCATCTTGGCAGGGTACTAGTGCTCAGCCTGCAGACACCTTCAAATCCAGTCGTATTTAAAGTTCCTTTTCAAATGTGGAAAACCCCTGACATCAAACTGATACCAATGCCCACTTTTTCTCTGTAAGTTGGGCCACTCAATATTGAAAAGAAAAAAAAAAAATCAAACTGAGTCACTCGATAAAGACTATGTTGTGCCAGGAAACATCATTCCTCAGAAAAGATGCTTTTCAAAAAGTTGTGTACTGAAATGCTGAAGGAAAAGTTAAAATCTAAAAACGATCTTTTTTCTTTTCTTTTTTTTCTTTTTTAAGGCAAGGATTCTGGTTGTGAGAGTTAGAATACTTTCCATGAAAGCTCAGGTGTGTATTTTCCCCTTTTCCATTATTGGAAATGCTGATATAACAGCCAGTCATGGGTGTTCTAATGAAGGGGGATTGGAGGTAGGGATGAGGGGCGGGAGGAGGCAGGAGAGGGAGAGGAGGATGAGTGATATTGCAGGACACCCCTTCTGTCTGTTGGGGTTTCCCTTTAGTAATTGCACCTTCAATCTTACTATAATTTATTCCCCAATCTTAATAATGCCTTTCATGCCTAGGACCAAATTCTCCAAATTTCATGCAAACGCATCTGAGAAGTGTTCTTTTGTGCAAATCTCTAAAAGAAGAAAATTGCAAGTATAAGCCCAAGAATGCAATGACCATGCTTGTTAAAACTGGCCTTGAGGATTCTCTAGTATCTTTACAGGCCTTACATGCCACTGTGTAACATGAAGTAAAAGCTCAGTACCAGAAATAGGATAATAGCTAACATTTATTGAGCACTTAGTACATACCAGTCACAATTCTCAGCACTTTATGTGAATCATGTGTATGCACGACCACCAAATGAGGTGGGTACTAATTTGCCATCCCCATTTTTTACCCTTTAAAACACTGTCTACATCTTAGCTTCTTGGCCCTTTTTAACATGGCTATGTTTATCACTATGAGCCAGAAAACAGTCTCACTGTAGACCTATGAGATAAATACTATAAGTATCCTCATTATTTACAAATTGGGAAACTGAAGCACAGTGAGGCAAGTAATTTGTCCAAAGCCACACAGGCAGGAATCCGCAGAAGCTGTATGTAAGCCCTGAAGTCTGGCTCCCAAGCCCAGCGTTTACCCCTCCTGTTCTCCCACTTCTCTGTGTGTTTTTTATCTGCCCCTCCCACCAGGTGTATGCTCCAGGGGCCTTGTGGGTCTAGTTTACTCCGATATTCTCAGCTCTTAAAGGTGCCTGGGAAAACATGGGATTTCACTAAATTAAATGTTGAATTAAAAAATTAAGTTGAAAAGTAGTGCTTTAAATAGTTTCTATTTCTGGGATTCTATAAGTTTTCGAATCTAGTTTCTAGGGTACATATTTGGAGGTGTGTGCAGGTAAGAAAATATATCTTCTACATAGTAGATTGGAAAGGTGGGGGGTTCTTTAGCGGAGCACT